GATGAGGTAGCCACTCTTAGTTCATGTTTATGTCAAAGATGTGTTTGTTTGTTGTTTAACGCCACATTCAGCAAGATTCTAGCTATATGACGGCGGTTTGTAAATAATCGAATCTGGACCGAAAATCGAGTGATTGACACCATGAGCATCGATCCACGTAATTGGGATACGATGACATGGAACACCCAAGTCAGCGAGGTTGACCACTCGATCCCGCTAGTCGCCTCTTACGACAAACATAGTCGCCTTTTACGGCAGGCATGGGTTGCTGAAGACCTAGTCTACCCCGGATCTTCACGGGTCTTATGTCAAAGAAGTATTGTTGTTGCGGATGAGTCTATGATAAGAAAATCCTTCTATATATATTTCTCTGATTAACTATAGTAATATGAAAGAGTCGAATTTTATTTAACTTCGTTGTATGTCACAAATTGAGTCTGTGTTGCATGAAATGGAATTTGATTATAACGACAAGAACGCTTGAGTGCACAGACCTTTTCAACGTCTACTTTTCTGAATGGTTGGTCCTTCTGTAAATGACACCCTTGAATGTTTGTCATTATTTTATGACAGTGTCGCCATATAAGTGCAATAATGTTGAACGCGACCATAAACCCCATTTCAACTCACCACAACGAAAGTAAATCAGTTACATCACTGTGCGTCTCTCTTTGGTGAAGCCTACAAGCATTAGGGTGGTATTTACCAACCAAGAATAGTAATTAGGGCGTAAATTAAATACTACCCAACGATCACTTCATCCTTACACGACTTCAGACGCAACACTGCACAGCAAATTGCGGTCTTCAACCACTGGACAAGTCGTTCCGCCATGAGTTACTAAATAAGGCATACTTAATTTTTTTCTTGGGTTACACGATAATTGGGTGTTGGCTGGTGTGTTCACCATATTCCTTTATGAATCCTCTTCCAACGCAACTGTAAATTCATCAGCACTCATGTCATGTCATGATATATGAGTTTAATTTCAGTTTTATATGAAAACGCATGTATGTGCATAATAAAATCTCACCTACTTAGCATATTTATTTAGCATGCATATTTTGAACCCGGAGTCAGATGACAATAGAGACAGTGTGTGACAAATCTCGCCATAGTGTAGTGATTATAGAAGACATGTATCATCACAACAGCGAGGTCCTGTCTCGGTAACTGTCGACAGGATATATGACAGGGCTATTCTTACCAAACAAATATATTATGTTTGAAGACTTTCTGTCTCTGTTTAATGGAGAAGTATGAGTAAGTGGTGACTGGACAAGGTCCTTGCCGGTCAAGCGTGCAGGCCGCAGACGGGGATTGATCAGCGGCTGTCGTTATACAACTCACTGGTGTCAACTGTCTGAAAGGAAGAGGTTGTTGAGGGATAAGTAATATATTATTTGGATGGGCCGAGAGAATCAGGTGAGGGTCAACCCAAAATATCACAGACTGAGGGAGACCTGCGAAAACAAGTGTATGACCTTGGGGAGGATGTGTATGGCAAGAGCCATTATTTTACTGAACCCTTTGAGGCGGTTTAACCAAGAGCCATTAGGTTCTGGAGCTCGCTTGATTTATTTAACATTTGAGACGGTTTAAGCAAGAGCCATTAGGTTCTGGAGCTCACTTGATTTATTTAACATTTGAGACGGTTTAACCAAGAGCCATTAGGTTCTGGAGCTCACTTGATTTATTTAACATTTGAGACGGTTTAAGCAAGAGCCATTAGGTTCTGGAGCTCACTTGATTTATTTAACATTTGAGACGGTTTAACCAAGAGCCATTAGGTTCTGGAGCTCGCTTGATTTATTTAACATTTGAGACGGTTTAAGCAAGAGCCATTAGGTTCTGGAGCTCACTTGATTTATTTAACATTTGAGACGGTTTAACCAAGAGCCATTAGGTTCTGAAGCTCACTTGATTTATTTAACATTTGAGACGGTTTAAGCAAGAGCCATTAGGTTCTGAAGCTCACTTGATTTATTTAACATTTGAGACGGTTTAAGCAAGAGCCATTAGGTTCTGAAGCTCACTTGATTTATTTAACATTTGAGACGGTTTAAGCAAGAGCCATTAGGTTCTGAAGCTCACTTGATTTATTTAACATTTGAGACGGTTTAAGCAAGAGCCATTAGGTTCTGGAGCTCGCTTGATTTATTTAACATTTGAGACGGTTTAAGCAAGAGCCATTAGGTTCTGGAGCTCACTTGATTTATTTAACATTTGAGACGGTTTAAGCAAGAGCCATTAGGTTCTGAAGCTCACTTAATTTATTTAACATTTGAGACGGTTTAAGCAAGAGCCATTAGGTTCTGAAGCTCACTTGATTTATTTAACATTTGAGACGGTTTAACCAAGAGCCATTAGGTTCTGAAGCTCACTTGATTTATTTAACATTTGAGACGGTTTAACCAAGAGCCATTAGGTTCTGGAGCTCGCTTGATTTATTTAACATTTGAGACGGTTTAACCAAGAGCCATTAGGTTCTGAAGCTCACTTAATTTATTTAACATTTGAGACGGTTTAAGCAAGAGCCATTAGGTTCTGGAGCTCACTTGATTTATTTAACATTTGAGACGGTTTAAGCAATAGAGCCATTAGGTTCTGGAGCTCGCTTGATTTATTTAACATTTGAGACGGTTTAACCAAGAGCCATTAGGTTCTGGAGCTCACTTGATTTATTTAACATTTGAGACGGTTTAAGCAACAGCCATTAGGTTCTGGAGCTCGCTTGATTTATTTAACATTTGAGATGGTTTAAGCAAGAGCCATTAGGTTCTGGAGCTCGCTTGATTTATTTAACATTTGAGATGGTTTAAGCAAGAGCCATTAGGTTCTGGAGCTCACTTGATTTATTTAACATTTGAGACGGTTTAAGCAAGAGCCATTAGGTTCTGGAGCTCGCTTGATTTATTTAACATTTGAGACGGTTTAAGCAAGAGCCATTAGGTTCTGGAGCTCACTTGATTTATTTAACATTTGAGACGGTTTAAGCAAGAGCCATTAGGTTCTGAAGCTCACTTGATTTATTTAACATTTGAGACGGTTTAAGCAAGAGCCATTAGGTTCTGGAGCTCACTTGATTTATTTAACATTTGAGACGGTTTAAGCAATAGAGCCATTAGGTTCTGGAGCTCACTTAATTTGTTACACATTTAAGGCGGTTTAACCAATAGAGCCATTAGGCTCTGGAGATCACTAGATTTATCAGTTGAGATTGTTTACCAAACCCACTTTGTGCGTCCATAGAGTATGTGTGTATATAGAACCTGGCAGTAATGTAAAGTTTCGATTTTTGTAAATGCCCTTAGTGTTGTGTTTTGGACATATCTGCCCCACTTTTGAACATGACTGGATGTGAACGACGACCTTTCATGAACACAGCAACAATGACCACAAGAGCTTTTCTTAAGTAGCTTCACTAAGGAGAAATGGTAACTAAACTAATGCCATAGTGCGTTGCCCGTTCGTAGTAATAATGGCCAACTAGAATGTTGTATTAGACTGCATATTCGATTCCTTTTCTAACATTGTGTCCAGGACATCATCCATAACAAAATTGTATTTTTTGTATTTCATTATTGGGTCATGAACTAATGTCTAAATCTTAAACTCAACAGATCTGTGTTGACCCTTACGGTACTGTCATGACTTTTGACCTTTCTGTGAGTCGAGGCTAGTTATATGCATTATAGTCATATCCCCTACAACCCCAGAGTCAATGATGCTTAAATACTGGTTGCCATGCTTCAATATTCAGAATCTACATACTGCAAAATACAAATGTTACTGTGGCACTGATCATTCTTTCTCCGTATCTAGGGTGGGGCGGGGCAGTCGGGTAGCCTAGTGGTTAAAGCGTTCGCTCGTCACGCCGAAGACCCGGTTTCGATTCCCGACATGGGTATAATGTGTGAAGCCCATTTCTGGTGTTCCCCGCGGTGATATTGCTGGACTATTGTTAAAGGTGGCGTAAAACCATACTCACTCACTCACTCAAAACTATAGCAGCTAACCCTCCACTCTGCTTAATTTCTAACACTGATCTTACATACTTTACTGTGACACTGTTGTACTAGACTGTGACACTGTTGTACTAGACTGTAACACTGTTGTACTATACTGTGACACTGTTGTACTAGACTGACACTGTTTTACTAGACTGTAACACTGTTGTACTATGATCTGACACTGTTGTACTATGCTCTGACACTGTTGTACTAGACTGTGACACTGTTGTACTATACTGTGACACTGTTGTACTAGACTGTGACACTGTTGTACTATGCTGCGACACTGTTGTACTATGCTGTGACACTGTTGTACTATGCTGTGACACTGTTGTACTATACTAGGACACTGTTGTACTATACATAATAACTATGGCATTGATATGCATTCTGGCATCACTGAACAAGTGTGATTCACGAAGTAATTACACAATTAAACAGTACTGAAAATATAACTGCCACCCAGATCCCAGCAATGAGTTCAATGGTACCAAGCCCTTGGAATATGTAAGGGCATAATTCCACTGTCAATCCCATGAGTCATAACCCATAATTATTGTTTAACATTTGTGTGTACAAAAAGCATCATTTATTACAATGGATTTTAGAGTGTTTGTTTGTTTGGTTGTTGTTTAAAGCCAAACTCAGCAATATTTCAGCCGTATGACGGCTGTATGTAATTTCAGTGATGGATATATTGAGCATCGATCCACGTAATTGGGATACGATGACATGCATCAACCAAGTCAGCGAGCCTGACCACCCGATCCCGTTAGTCGCCTCTTACGACATGCATAGTCGCCTTTTACAGCAAGCATGGGTTACTGAATACCTATTCTACCCGGGATCTTCACGGGTCAAGTGAATGACATAACGTAAGGACAGGTACTGCCCTGCCTAACATCTAAGGTATAACGTACCCAGACATTTGGATGCAATACTAACACATGGACGTACCTGACATCACACAAATAGGACAAACAGATATGGAATTCCATGAAGCTTTAATGGCATAAACAAAACAATAACTTCAATAAACTGACACAAAATATAAATTGATATTTAAAAATATTTACACCAGTATCAGCATGTAGATATAATTGATGAATTATTGCCATCAATATTGTGATATCAAGATAAGGAAAACAGAGTAAGCACAGGCTGAAAGTGGCCAAATAAAAAATATCCATAAGATACAGCTCCTTTTTTCTGGTGAAGAATGATTTTAGCAAATTGTAGAAACACCCCTGGCAGCCCCCACCACCCAGAAAATGTAAGTCCTTATTTTTTAGCATAAAAGCATCAGTTTCAAACCATCTGTTGAACTCAAGGGAACTTAAATTATTTCCTATAACAGGGTCTTGGACTTAACAATAGAGCTAAACTCACCACAAATATATCTGTGAAATAAACAATCTATGACTAAAATAAAGTTTTGTTTTTTTATTTTTGTTTCTTGTTTTCTTATGACTCTACGGTTAAACAAGAAATATAATGGCCTGGTTTAAGATTAACAGAAACATCCTGCCCTACTCAATTCCAAGAACATTAATTTCCTCTCACCAACAATACCCAGTAGGTGGTGAGGTGTAATGGGGTTTAACATTGATTCAAGATTATTGCACCTATATAGCAAAGTGCATGCACATGGCTATTAAATGTCGATTTATAGCGCTATCCCACTGAGATAACTTGCTGCAGTTTAACATGAATACTCCACTCAGACCCAGAATACTGACTGTACCCATGTGGGAATCGAACCCAGGCCATATGTGCATTAACCACTAGGTAACCCCACCCCCGGAGAGTGTACACCAGGAGTGTTTAAAATAAGTGGGTCCTCCACTGTATAAAATCTAGGGACCCTGAAATCTTTCACCTATGAACATTGGGGCTAAGACAAGGGCCCCTAGACAATCCTGCTCAAGTATGAACAAGGAATATTGTTTAATGAACCCAGGTAGCCCAGCTCTGCTCCCTGATGAATAGTGCTGACCACTCCACACAAATCTTACATTCAAGGCCTCTAATTTGAACAGAATACTTGAAACAATATGGTTGGTGTTGTACTCCATGCCATGATTTCTTCCCACACAGGATGGATGTAGCTGTATCTCGTGCTTACATATACAGTTAAACTCTGTTGTGTCCAACCTTGATGTCTCAAACTTACTCTTGTCTCGAAGTAAAAGTTTGGTCTCTGGGTATGCCTTCTTTATTCATCATTTTCGGTTGTGTCGAACCTAGGATAACTTGAGTATTTATTTCAACATCGACACAAGTGTTTAGCTGTACCTAATCCAAACAATATATTCATTGTTGTGAAAGACATGCTAAATTAATTCCAAGCGTGGATACAGCTTTTTTAAAATGGGGGATGCATAAAAAATTTGTCAATATAAACTGTAAATGCCAGATAATAACCAATCTCAATTATCACCCTAAGAGATTGGATAATGATAATTCACGAAATATTTTTCGTTTCTTAGCGAATCAATTAGTTGTTACTTTTGTTGAAAACATGTCACCGAATGAGTAATTACATGTTTTTGTTCACATCAACATGGTTACTGTGCTTCAAGCAGTCAGGCATCCTAGCATCCCAGCACTGGATCTGGCACTGAAAGCAGTCTTTTGGTTCTAACTAGAGAGTGAGTAGGGTTTGTCACTAGCTTTGAGCAATGTCAGCTTAATGTTATATGAATTTGATAGCCCAAGAGTGAGACAGGTCATAGACATTCACCACTAGCATGTGTACATCTCAACACCAAGCATCATTATGGGGTAAATATTGGATTCGAACACGTGAACAGTGGAGTCTGTTCACTGAGCAATCACTGTGTCACCGGTGCCCCCAATTCTTGCTCGTGAACTGGAATATACAGCATGCGTTAAAAATAATATGAAAATCCTGCTATGCAAAGTACACAACAGATAAACATTTCACAAGTTAACTGTGGCCGGGGATAAAACCGGGCACATGGTACCATGGCCATTTGTAAATGTGAACACAACAATAGCTTCAATACGTTTACATGCAACTGAGGCCTGAGACACTGCACATGATCAATAGCTCTATCTAGACGAGAAAACCCAATGTTATTAATAGTCAAACACTACGAACATTCATCTTTGATATTAATAATATGCGAATGATAACTTAATGATAATTTTGAGAGGTATGTCTGTGTCTATCTGCTTTGAGGTAGGATTTCAATTTGGTATTACTGTGTCAACTCCTCTAAATTATCCATGTTATTGTCTAGACAGTTCTTAGATCCGTGTTTCCATCCCCCATCCCCCATCTTTCAGTCAGCATGTACCATTCACATCTTGACACATATTGTCTTCTCCTCGGTGAAGAACTCGATGGAGTCTTTGGCTCCCTCTCGTCCAATGCCGGACTCCTTTGTTCCTCCAAAGGGCATGTTGAGGTCTCTCACAAGCCAGCAGTTGGCCCACACGGTACCAACCTGAAAGTCACATAATTCACAGATGAAATAAAGGCAGCCTCACTGTGTACTGTGTAACATCTGTGCACTGATACAGCTATCTGGAGACATAGGTTGCACACTATGCTATGTGAATGTAAATAAATCAGGATACAATTTGGATTCAGCAGTCATGTCAACATAATACCAAAATAGAATGCTTCTTTAAGGTTTGTCTGTGTCTGTGTCTGAGTTTCTGTGTGTGTGTGTGGGTGTGTGTGTGTGTGTGTGTGTGTGTGTGTAGATGCAATGTGTCCCTGCTATTGTTATGACAACCTTATACCCTGTTCATACGAGGGCTGGCTGAAAAGTTCTAAGCCTAAGTGGGATATCTCAATCAGATTGAAACAAACTTTTGCCACCTACCACTTGTTTGCCTAAGAGTCACATATGAAATGGGCCAAAATGTTGTAGGGACCTTTACTTAAACAATTTCTGATGACACTTTTGGGAATGTACAATCTCACCTGTATTTCATGTGAAATAAAATGCACATATTCTGAGGATATTATCAGAGGCTTCCTTATTATTAGAAAAAACTAACAAGGTGATGAGTGACAATCTTGAACTCACTTGAATGATTGGTTAATCACCAAAATATCCTAAAAGCCTTTTCACTTTATCAAAGTTACCTGATCACTGGCGTTCACTGTCTAATATGAACTTATCTTTGTAATGTGATTATGGATATAGATTACAGATATTATAAATGCCTCGGTGGGAATATTGTTTGAAGCATTCATAAAATCTATATCAGTTTGCCTGAATTGTCACTATCAGCTGAGTGTTTTGTTGACCCAGAAATGTTGACGAAGACCTTGTCATTGTGGTCCTTTTGTACTTATTCCTGTATATAACTGTAGAACTATCCACCAACTTTCATATATATACACATTCCCATTACATGTTAATCAGCATCTTCCCAAGGCAAGGGCATTAACTGACATCAGAAGTCCAGTTTCCACCCTTGCCGAACTAGGCTGGAATTCCGATACTACATTTCGGCTGGACTAATAAGTCTATGCGTAGTCCAATCAAAATTGTGTCATAGTCCAATAAAAAAAACTAGACATCTGGTTCGCAAACAAAATGGATTTCAAAGTACAGTGTTCGGTCAACTGCAGGGTTTGCAAAGCATGTTTACCACCCACTGGGTGTCGATAGATATTTTGCAAATCTTTTCATGTTTGTAATCAAGATGATCTGGTGAGTTGAAGCACTTCGCGAGGTAAGACCCATTTATTTCAATAAAGATCTTGATTATCAATCAGATTGTCTTGACATTCGTGACCAACTCGTGTTATTCCGGGACAAGCCGAATAGCGACTCGTGCCCCTCTCGTGGCCATTTTTGCAACCGGGTTCCGTCTTAGCGCAAACGGGCATACCTAAAACAATTGTCAACTCGTTGCGTAATGGTTCACATATATTTCCCCATATATTATATATATTTCAGATGCAATTTAAAGCACACATACAGTATGATTGAACACATTTAACTGTGTCCTGGGTATATTTTTAGATGCAAGACATATGTAAAAACAAAAATTATTTCTTAGGGATTCTTTGACGAAGAACTTGAAATCATACGCGCATTCTGATTGGTTTGTCGTATTTTCGCACATAACATTCATCGATAGGGGGACGAGTCTTCTTGCAGGTTACGGAAAAGGGCGAGTGGTGACGAATGATTGTCTTGACTGGGCACCGCCATCTTGTTTGAAGCAAAAATGATATGAGAGATGGAATCTGATTGGTCAATAGGAGGAACATAGAAGGGACACAACTTGTAATAGCCACTGGTGTCAAGTCTGGAAATCCAGCCTAGTTTTGCAAGGGTGGAAACTGGACTTTAATAGTCAGTAAACGCCCTTACCTCGGGAATATGGTGAGTTTGTTGTTTAATGGTGTACTCATCAATATTCCAGCTGTATGAATGTGGGCTGTAAGTAAGCAAGCTTGGTCCAAACAAATTGATGACTGATATCATGAGCAAAGATCAACACTATCGGGTCAGGCAAGTCATCGAGCCTGACCACGCCATCCAATCAATCGTCTCTTGTGACCAACAATCACTCTGGAGTCCATCACATGTATGTAGTAATTGCAATATAACCCAGTATAACATGTGCCTACCTACATATAGAGGCCTTCCTACATATAGAGATTAAGCTATATTGCTTGACATTCTAATAATGATGATGTGAGTGAGTGAGTGAGTGAGTGAGTGAGTTGGGTTTTATGCCGCTTTTAACATTTTTCCAGTTATATCGCGGCATGTCAGCTTAATGTGGGAGGAAAGCCCGAGGTGATGCAGGTGATGATGATAAAAAAGACGTTATTGATGATAATACAGTAAATAGTGATGATGATTATTATAATAAAAAGGGAATGATAATATTGGTGATGATGATGATAATGATGATAAGGACACCTACCTGTAGCCTCTGAGCTATTCGGTGTAGTCGGCTGACATTCTGGGTCCAGAGAGTAGCACACAGACCATACTTGACACTGTTAGCACGACGGACTACCTGCAATACAGAAACAGCCATATCATGCAGGAGTGCTCACCGTGGAAGACATTTCTTTATAAATATATTTACTCGCTAACTGTTTCAACTGCATTAAGGTGTATTAAGACCAAACATATATGCTTCATCAATCAAAGTTAGCGTCTACAGACGCTTTGACAATTCTGCTTAAAAAGAAAACGCCTTCATCCTTACAGGTAACAGGCTGGGTGACAACAAGTACCATCTTTTGGCATGATGGGGCCAGGGGTCAAACTCTCTATCCAGTAGACAACAGAGGCTGTCTTCAACATTTGAACTTTATAATATATAATGAGAGAATGAGGTGGTCGTAGAAATTAAAGACAGGTCACGGTAAAGCGGGTCAGACTACTTGTTCATACGCCAGATATGATAGCTACCCTGGTCCCCGTCCCACAAAGATATCTTTGCACTATGACCATCCTAAGTGTCAAGAACATAGTCAGGGTGTATTTGGGATTCAAACCCATGCTCATAGGATTCTGGCACACCTAAGGTTGACAACTCTGTACAGCAATTTGCAACACCTTAGTGACTGTGTCGTCCAAGCTCCCATGTAGCTGCTAATTTAATAGCATAATAGTCCTACTGTAACTAGAATATGTTGTGAGAAAAATATTAAAAGACAGGATAAGTATAAATGCTAAAGCAAAGGATTAGGCTGCGATCTGTAAATAATCAAGTCTGGACCAGACAATCCTGTGATTGATCAATAGGGATCGATGACATGCATCAACCAAGTCAGCGAGCCTGACCACCTGACCCTGTTAGTCGCCTGTCACCACAAACCTAGTCGCCTTTTACGACAAGCATGGGTTGCTGAAGACCTATTCTACCCTGGATCTTCACGGGTCTCTGATGACTGAACTACTACGGTCTGCCAAAATTTGGCCTCAAGGTAAAACCTCACCTCTTCCTCTGTCTCAAATGGAACAATGCAGGCCACAGGGCCGAAGATTTCTTCAGTCATCAGGCGGGAATCATCAGTGACGTTTGTGATGACCGTTGGCCTCATGAAGTAGCCCTGGAACATGAGTGAGTGAGTGAGTGAGTTTGAGTGAGTTTGGGGTATTGAGTAAGTTTTGGGTGATTGATTGAGTGAGTGAGTAAGTGAGTGAGTGAGGTTGGGTGAGTGAGTGTGTGAGTGTGTTTGAGTGAGTTTAGGTGATTGAGTGAGTTTTAGTGAGTGAATTTGGGTGAGTGAGTGAGTGAGAGTGAGTGAGTGAGTAAGTGAGTGAGTGAGTGAGTGAGAGTGAGTGAGTTAGTCAATTTGGGTGAGTGAGTGAGTTTGAGTGAGTGAGTGAGTTTGGGTGAGTGAGTGAGTGAGTGAGTGAGTGGATAGCTTCTAGCAATAGTACAGTGGGGGACACAAAAAATGGGGAAACATTTTAACTTGTAACCCACTCACTAAGGCCACATTTTTGTTATTTTAGGATTCAGTGAGTTAACGAACCTTGTAAGAAGCAGACACGGGTGATAATGCCCTGACAATTCAGTGACTTAGTTAATTACCGTTTGAGCTGGAATACCTACACTCAGCATGTAACGTTACTGTTAGAGTGGTCACCAACATCCAGCTGTGATTTACCAAGAAGAACAGAACAGGTCAACAACAGCCCCACGGGGTACCAGCCAAGATGGCGGACGCTATGCTGCAATCAGCACACTCTGCCCGAGCTAGTGATGTACTCGGGAATATCTTAGTTGACATGAATGCTTCATCATCTAAAAGTGGCTAATGATGTCCAAAGTCACGAGCAAGAAGCGCTCCCTGGCATCTAAGGTGCAACCAAAATCCAGTTCCAAACAAAACAAAGAGGTTAGAACTCAGCAGGATAACAGACCGACGTCCAACAGCAAGTCTCCGACTAAACCCTTACATGAGAGTCAAGACTGGCTCCTAGCCCAAGTCACGCAAAAGAATATGAAGATGATATCCAGTATGACAACATCTATTTCCAAACTTGGAGACATTATGGCCTCGTTTTTGTATCAGACGCCACCCCCAGCCATGCCAGTGCAGCTGTGACCCACCCTCCATACCATGAATGAGGGGAGGTGGGAACAGCCATGGGCCAGTAGTCCATTGACAAGCTGTCTGACAGTGGCAGGAACGGCGCCATGGAAGACCTTTTGATGATGCTGAAGAGGCTGCAGGTGCTCTGAGCACAGCCGATGGCTCCACGCAAATGGATGAGAGTAATGATCTATTGGACTCCCTGCTTCAGGATTATGCCAATGAAGATCTCTTTGACCCACCTATACAACCAAAGTTGGCAGGGGCAATGAACAATATGATGTTCAAGAAAATGCCTGAAGAAAAGTTGAAAAGTCTCCCCACAACTGTGAGTTGGTGAAAACGACAAAGTGAATCCAGAAATCTGGAATAAGCTTAAATCACAAGAACGGTCAGATGCAGAAACTCCAAGCTTCTGTCCTTAGGGCACCTGTGGCATTGCTACACATAGCCAGTGACTTACAAGCAATTCCAGCAGTTGTGTTCACCTCAGACGCCTATATCTACCCTGCGGGTTGGAGACAACTTGGGGGAGACTATCAAGTCAATGAGTATGACTTCACTCATCTTCCCAAAGCAAGAGAGTTAACTGACTTTAAAAGTCCAGTTTCCACTCTTGCCAAACTAGGCTGGAATTACTGGGCTTGATCGTAGCGCCACCAGTGGCTATTACAAGCTATGTCCCTTTTAAGCCTCTCCTATGAACCAATCAGATTCCACGTCTGGCATCACCTGCGTTTGCTTCACACAAAATGGTGGCGCCCAGTCAGGACGATCTGATTGATAATCAAGATCTATATTGTTATAAAACGGGTCTTACATCGCAAAATGCATCAAAATGCACCTTGATCAAAAACATGAAGAGATTTGGAAAATATCTGCTGACAACGAGTTGGCGGTGCACATGCTTTGCAAATCCTGCAATCGACTGAAATCTGCACAACAGTTTACGAACCGAATTTCGTTTTCGGTGTGCCATTTTGATTTGACTATGCATAGACTCGTTAGTCCAAAAATGTAACTCCATAATACCAGCCTAGTTCGGCAAGGGTGGAAACTGGACTTTTATAGTCAGTTAACTCTCTTGCCTCGGGAAGATGGACTTTACTAAGAAGGTGAATACATATCTACAGTCTTCATTAGACTTAAGAAAAACAGAACATACAGACTTTTCTTGAATCTGAAGCTAATGGTATTTAGTGTAGACTATGTCCATTTCAAGATGGAGAGCCTTACAGCTGCCCTCTTGTCTGTGCGTAAGGACTTTATATGGCATTGACAGATTTGAAAGATGCCTACTACACTGTGACTATACTGAGCCGGCTGGTGGAGTATTCTGCGACTTTCTCCAAGTCCTACAACAAACCTGTGGGTGCGTTTGCATTGGCTTATCTTCCCGATACTGATCTGTATGGAAAGTTTCATCCAGAAATATTCAACAGTTTTGGAGTTTTGCTCCGGAAACAAGCACTGTCCAAAGTTCAGTAACCCTTGCAACCCTTTCAGTAAAGACCAACTTGTCGTCATGAAAACATTAAAAAAAAAAATCCCAAACCATCAAAAGGCACCAGTTCACCTGTAGACTGATCTGTCTAGCAAGTTTCATCCAGAAATATTTAACAGTTTCGGTGTTCTGCTCCCCCAAAACAGACAGACATGCTGATTGCTATATCCACCCGTTTTTCAAACCGAGGGGATAAAAATGATTTATTTCCTCAAAATGTTACCTCAGCAGGAAAAATTTTTTAAACAGCTTTCAATTATAGTGAAGCAGTGAAGCATTTGTTTTGTTGTTTTACTTATTTCATAGTCGGTGGATCCATACACCAAGTTTCAAAAGGGTTTGGGGGCGAGTTGGGTTTTACACCTCATTCATCAATATTCCAGCAATATCATGATGGGAAAGCATAAATTTGGTATCTATTGTAGTTATTTGGAAAATCAAACCTGGTCCTTGGGTGATAAAAACTTTAAACGCTTAGCTACCCAAGCACTTCCTTATTGTTATGACAATCAACAGTAACTACAGAGTATGGGCAGTGCACTAACATAGCTTCAGTCATTATGCCCTTGCTAAGTAATATCTTACATTTCTACATTTCTCTGGCAGATCCAGTTCCTTCACACCATCCCCACACAGGACAGTGGCCCCATCTGACCTGGCCACCTCCACGTATCCCTTGACCTTTGCAAGGTGCTCCTTGCTGATGAGGGCACCGGTAAAAGTGTTGACATCTTGGGGATCACCAACAACCAGCTCACTGAAATTACATGGTCATGATGAGGGCCCTTTGGGCATTTCCAACAACCAGCTCACTGAAATTACATGGTCATGATCAGGGCCCTTTGGGGATTTCCAACAACCAGCTCACTGAAATTACATGGTCATGATGAGGGCCCTTGTGGATCTCCAACAGCAATCTCCCTGAAACTACATGGTCATAATCAGGGCCCTTTGGGGATTTCCAACAACCAGCTCACTGAAATTACATGGTCATGATGAGGGCCCTTGTGGATCTCCAACAGCAATCTCCCTGAAACTACATGGTCATAATCAGGACCCTTGAGGATCTCCAACAACAATCTCCCTGAAACTACATGGTCATATTCAGGGCCCTTTGGGGATCACCAACAACCAGCTCCCTGAAATTACATGGTCATAAATAGGGCCCTTTGGGGATTTCCAACAATAATCTCCCTGAAATTACATGGTCATAATCAGGGCCCTTTAGGGATTTCCAACAATAATCTCCCTGAAATTACATGGTCATAATCAGGGCCCTTTGGGGATTTCCAACAATAATCTCCCTGAAATTACATGGTCATAATCAGGGCCCTTTAGGGATTTCCAACAATAATCTCCCTGAAATTACATGGTCATAATCAGGGCCCTTTGGGGATCACCAACAACAATCTCCCTGAAACTACATGGTCATAATCATGGCCCTTTAGGGATTTCCAACAATAATCTCCCTGAAATTACATGGTCATAATCAGGGCCCTTTGGGGATCACCAACAACCAGCTCACTGAAATTACATGGTCATGATCAGGATCCTTTGGGTATCTCCAACAACAATCTCCCTGAAATTACATGGTCATGATCAGGGCCCTTTGGGGATCACCAACAACCAGCTCACTGAAATTACATGGTCATGATCAGGGCCCTTTGGGGATTTCCAACAACCAGCTCACTGAAATTACATGGTCATGATGAGGGCCCTTGTGGATCTCCAACAGCAATCTCCCTGAAACTACATGGTCATAATCAGGGCCCTTTGGGGATCACCAACAACCAGCTCACTGAAATTACATGGTCATGATGAGGGCCCTTTGGGGATTTCCAACAACCAGCTCCCTGAAATTACATGGTCAGGATCAGGACCCTTGAGGATCTCCAACAACAATCTAACTGAAATTACATGGTCATAATCAGGGCCCTTTGGGGATCACCAACAACAATCTCCCTGAAACTACATGGTCATAATCATGGCCCTTTAGGGATTTCCAACAATAATCTCCCTGAAATTACATGGTCATAATCAGGGCCCTTTGGGGATCACCAACAACCAGCTCACTGAAATTACATGGTCATGATCAGGATCCTTTGGGTATCTCCAACAACAATCTCCCTGAAATTACATGGTCATGATCAGGGCCCTTTGGGGATCACCAACAACCAGCTCACTGAAATTACATGGTCATGATCAGGGCCCTTTGGGGATTTCCAACAACCAGCTCACTGAAATTACATGGTCATGATGAGGGCCCTTGTGGATCTCCAACAGCAATCTCCCTGAAACTACATGGTCATAATCAGGGCCCTTTGGGGATCACCAACAACCAGCTCACTGAAATTACATGGTCATGATGAGGGCCCTTTGGGGATTTCCAACAACCAGCTCCCTGAAATTACATGGTCAGGATCAGGACCCTTGAGGATCTCCAACAACAATCTCCCTGAAATTACATGGTCATAATCAGGGCCCTTTGGGGATCACCAACAACAATCTCCCTGAAACTACATGGTCATAATCATGGCCCTTTAGGGATTTCCAACAATAATCTTCCTGAAATTACATGGTCATAATCAGGGCCCTTTGGGGATCACCAACAACCAGCTCACTGAAATTACATGGTCATGATCAGGATCCTTTGGGTATCTCCAACAACAATCTCCCTGAAATTACATGGTCATGATCAGGGCCCTTTGGGGATCACCAACAACCAGCTCACTGAAATTACATGGTCATGATCAGGGCCCTTTGGGGATTTCCAACAACCAGCTCACTGAAATTACATGGTCATGATGAGGGCCCTTGTGGATCTCCAACAGCAATCTCCCTGAAACTACATGGTCATAATCAGGGCCCTTTGGGGATCACCAACAACCAGCTCACTGAAATTACATGGTCATGATGAGGGCCCTTTGGGGATTTCCAACAACCAGCTCCCTGAAATTACATGGTCAGGATCAGGACCCTTGAGGATCTCCAACAACAATCTCCCTGAAACTACATGGTCATATTCAGGGCCCTTTGGGGATCACCAACAACCAGCTCCCTGAAATTACATGGTCATAATCAGGGCCCTTTGGGGATTTCCAACAATAATCTCCCTGAAATTACATGGTCATAATCAGGGCCCTTTAGGGATTTCCAACAATAATCTCCCTGAAATTACATGGTCATAATCAGGGCCCTTTGGGCATTTCCAACAACCAGCTCACTGAAATTACATGGTCATGATCAGGGCCCTTTGGGGATTTCCAACAACCAGCTCCCTGAAATTACATGGTCATGATGAGGGCCCTTGTGGATCTCCAACAGCAATCTCCCTGAAACTACATGGTCATAATCAGGGCCCTTTGGGGATTTCCAACAACCAGCTCACTGAAATTACATGGTCATGATGAGGGCCCTTGTGGATCTCCAACAGCAATCTCCCTGAAACTACATGGTCATAATCAGGACCCTTGAGGATCTCCAACAACAATCTCCCTGAAACTACATGGTCATATTCAGGGCCCTTTGGGGATCACCAACAACCAGCTCCCTGAAATTACATGGTCATAAATAGGGCCCTTTGGGGATTTCCAACAATAATCTCCCTGAAATTACATGGTCATAATCAGGGCCCTTTAGGGATTTCCAACAATAATCTCCCTGAAATTACATGGTCATAATCAGGGCCCTTTGGGGATTTCCAACAATAATCTCCCTGAAATTACATGGTCATAATCAGGGCCCTTTAGGGATTTCCAACAATAATCTCCCTGAAATTACATGGTCATAATCAGGGCCCTTTGGGGATCACCAACAACAATCTCCCTGAAACTACATGGTCATAATCATGGCCCTTTAGGGATTTCCAACAATAATCTCCCTGAAATTACATGGTCATAATCAGGGCCCTTTGGGGATCACCAACAACCAGCTCACTGAAATTACATGGTCATGATCAGGACCCTTTGGGTATCTCCAACAACAATCTCCCTGAAATTACATGGTCATGATCAGGGCCCTTTGGGGATCACCAACAACCAGCTCACTGAAATTACATGGTCATGATCAGGGCCCTTTGGGGATTTCCAACAACCAGCTCACTGAAATTACATGGTCATGATGAGGGCCCTTGTGGATCTCCAACAGCAATCTCCCTGAAACTACATGGTCATAATCAGGGCCCTTTGGGGATCACCAACAACCAGCTCACTGAAATTACATGGTCATGATGAGGGCCCTTTGGGGATTTCCAACAACCAGCTCCCTGAAATTACATGGTCAGGATCAGGACCCTTGAGGATCTCCAACAACAATCTCCCTGAAATTACATGGTCATAATCAGGGCCCTTTGGGGATCACCAACAACAATCTCCCTGAAACTACATGGTCATAATCATGGCCCTTTAGGGATTTCCAACAATAATCTTCCTGAAATTACATGGTCATAATCAGGGCCCTTTGGGGATCACCAACAACCAGCTCACTGAAATTACATGGTCATGATCAGGATCCTTTGGGGATTTCCAACAACCAGCTCACTGAAATTACATGGTCATGATCAGGGCCCTTTGGGGATCACCAACAACCAGCTCACTGAAATTACATGGTCATGATCAGGGCCCTTTGGGGATTTCCAACAACCAGCTCACTGAAATTACATGGTCATGATGAGGGCCCTTGTGGATCTCCAACAGCAATCTCCCTGAAACTACATGGTCATAATCAGGGCCCTTTGGGGATCACCAACAACCAGCTCACTGAAATTACATGGTCATGATGAGGGCCCTTTGGGGATTTCCAACAACCAGCTCCCTGAAATTACATGGTCAGGATCAGGACCCTTGAGGATCTCCAACAACAATCTCCCTGAAACTACATGGTCATATTCAGGGCCCTTTGGGGATCACCAACAACCAGCTCCCTGAAATTACATGGTCATAATCAGGGCCCTTTGGGGATTTCCAACAATAATCTCCCTGAAATTACATGGTCATAATCAGGGCCCTTTAGGGATTTCCAACAATAATCTCCCTGAAATTACATGGTCATAATCAGGGCCCTTTGGGGATTTCCAACAATAATCTCCCTGAAATTACATGGTCATAATCAGGGCCCTTTAGGGATTTCCAACAATAATCTCCCTGAAATTACATGGTCATAATCAGGGCCCTTTGGGGATCACCAACAACAATCTCCCTGAAACTACATGGTCATAATCATGGCCCTTTAGGGATTTCCAACAATAATCTCCCTGAAATTACATGGTCATAATCAGGGCCCTTTGGGGATCACCAACAACCAGCTCACTGAAATTACATGGTCATGATCAGGACCCTTTGGGTATCTCCAACAACAATCTCCCTGAAATTACATGGTCATGATCAGGGCCCTTTGGGGATCACCAACAACCAGCTCACTGAAATTACATGGTCATGATCAGGGCCCTTTGGGGATTTCCAACAACAATCTCTGTGAAATTACATGGTCACGATAAGACAGACCCCTTGGGGGTCTTACACTTATCATTGTCGGAATCAGTGTATTCCAGGAGCTGCCACAACAGCTATACAAGTGAACAAATGTTATTTTACACCCCTGTCAGCAATATTTCAGATATATCACAGTAGCCTAGAAATAATCAAGAGTTGGCGAAGCAAACCTGTTGTTAGCTACTTGGTCACAATGAGACATACGGTAATCAACAAAGTCACACATCGTAACCCCCCAATCCTCATGTTATTTGTCTGTTAGAATAACCATGGGGTCCTTGGAATCTGACATAGTTTCACCGGCAACTTTCACCGGTTTTACAATGGTCCTTGTCTACGTGGGCAACTGAAAGTAGCTTCACATCTGACATTTCAGATATTATTCAAACATTGATTTTGTTGACATCCATTATCCATTCATATGTCAATCCAAACAGTGCAACAAGTGACATGAGGTTAATTCAATCCAAAACAAAGACCTTTAGTACCTGATCCCTTGGACTATCTGTCTGGGCCAATTTTGAAGACCACTGGCCTCCTGAACTAGTCAAGTGAAACAGTTTTTCTTTGTACGAAAAGCCTTCAACCCAAATACAATTTAGCAAAATTCCTCATTTGTACAAGGTATTTATATCACATAGAACACATCAATACCTTCTCTTCTTGACCGAGCCTTCTGTGTAAATTTGTACCTGAAGAGCAATTCACCTTGCCACCAGAACAAATCTGTCCTTGAAGAGCAACTCACCTTACTGCTTGGACAAGTCTGTCCTTGGAAGAAGAACTCACCATACTGCTTGGACAAGTCTGTCCTTGAAGAGCAACTCACCATACTTCTAGGACAAGTCTGTCCTTGAAGAGCAACTCACCTTATTGCTTTGACAAGTCTGTCCTTGAAGAACACCTCACCAGACTGCTTGGACAAATATGTCCTTGAAGAGTAACTCTCCATACTGCTTGGACAAAAACAACTAACCAGACTCCCATGCTAAACAAGGACAAGTCTGTCCTTGGAAGAACAACTCACCATACTGCTTGGACAAGCCTGTCCTTGAAGAGTAACTCTCCATTACTGCTTGGACAAGCCTGTCCTTGAAGAACAACTCAACTTACTGCTCGGACAAGTCTGTCCTTGGAAGAACAACTCACCTTACTGCTTGGACAAGTCTGTCCTTGAAGAGCAACTCTCCATACTGCTTGGGCAAGTCTGTCCTTGAAGAGTAACTCACCTTACTGCTTGGACAAGTCTGTCCTTGAAGAGCAACTCTCCATACTGCTTGGGCAAGTCTGTCCTTGAAGAGTAACTCACCTTACTGCTTCGACAAGTCTGTCCTTGAAGAGTAACTCACCTTACTGCTTGGACAAATATGTCCTTGAAGAGGAACTCTCCATACTGCTTGGACAAGCCTGTCCTTGAAGAACAGCTCACCATACAGCTTGGACAAAAACAACTAACCAGACTCCCATGCTAAATCTAACCTTAAGAGCAACTCACCTGGCCGCCAGAGTAAATCTGTTCTTGAAGAGCAACTCACCTGGCCGCCAGAGTAAATCTGTCCTTGAAGAGCAACACACCTGGCCGCCAGAGAAAATCTGTTCTTGAAGAGCAACTCACCTGGCTGCTAGGGTAAATCTGTCCTTGAAGAGCAACTCACCTGGCTGCCAGAGAAAATCTGTTCTTGAAGAGCAACTCACCTGGCCGCCAGAGTAAATCTGTCCTTGAAGAGCAACTCACCTGGCTGCTAGGGTAAATCTGTCCTTGAAGAGCAACTCACCTGGCTGCTAGGGTAAATCTGTCCTTGAAGAGCAACTCACCTGGCTGCCAGAGAAAATCTGTTCTTGAAGAACAACTCACCTGGCTGCCAGAGTAAATCTGTTCTTGAAGAGCAACACACCTGGCCGCCAGAGTAAATCTGTCCTTGAAGAGCAACTCACCTGGCCGCCAGAGTAAATCTGTCCTTGAAGAGCAACTCACCTGGCCACCAGAGTAAATCTGTTCTAGAAAAGCAACTCACCTGGCCGCCAGAGTAAATCTGTCCTTGAAGAGCAACTCACCTGGCCACCAGGGTAAATCTGTTCTTGAAAAGCAACTCACCTGGCCACCAGGGTAAATCTGTTCTTGAAGAGCAACTCACCTGGCCACCAGAGTAAATCTGTTCTTGAAGAGCAACTCTCCTGGCCACCAGGGTAAATCTGTCCTTGAAGAGCAACTCACCTGGCCACCAGAGTAAATCTGTTCCTGAAGAGCAACTCACCTGGCCGCCAGGGTAAATCTGTCCTTGAAGAGCAACTCACCTGGCCACCAGGATAAATCTGTTCTTGAAGAGCAACTCACCTGGCCGCCAGGGTAAATCTGTTCTTGAAGAGAATCTCACCTGGCCGCAAGGGTACATCTGTTCTTGTAGAGCAACTCACCTGGCCACCAGAGTAATTCTGTTCTTGAAGAGCAACTCACCTGGCTGCTAGGGTAAATCTGTCCACAAAGTCCTTGTAGATGTCCTGGTGGACATACAGCCTACTGGTGCAGAGGCAAATCTCCCCCTGGTTCAGGAAACTCGACCTGTGATGTTTAAAGCTCAAGATATACATTACATCTTGATACATAGGCTATAAGGCCAGGAAAATGTCTCTTAGAAGACAAGAATTTTACAATCAAACATTATATGAAACACTGCCACATACTAAGAACTCTGAGGCTGAAATTGGAAAATCCTCAAATTACCACAATAGTCTTACAGCCACGTTGCTCTGATCGCTACCCAAAATGCAAGAGATGGATATCACTGACCACTGTCTGATGCTTAGCTAAAAAATATCTTGTTCCATTAAAACAGAACCTTTTTGGTCTGTTAAAACAACCTATTTTAATCATTTATGCCCTTGAATGGTTGAAGTCAATACAATCAGCAATATCTTCTCTGTGCAGTATGGGTATTTATCGAAACATGGAAATAAAAATACCCTGGTAATTCAAGAATTGGATGTGGGGAATAACTTACATGGGATCTTTTTTAAATGCATCTTTGCATTACTGAAAAATAGCAACTACTTCTTTAGCGTTTCTTCAAAATTATGATAATGTTTTGCTACATTTATGTATTCTGAAGAAGAGGATTGTGCAATCCTGCTGAGACAGTGTTGGCAGTATGTGATCGAGTGCGCATGCATTACCTGATGGTGGTGTGAACACACTTGTCCAGGTCAGCATCACTGAATATAACAGCTGGGTTTTTGCCTCCAAGCTAACAGTAAAAACCATTGTTTCATGTTTAGAAAGTTGTTTAAATACATACAGATTGCGTTAGTTTTCACATGTTGGAAAATACATTTTGTCACAGTTAGGTACAAAATGGCTTCAACACAATGCCAGTTTGGGCAATATTCATAGAAAATCAGTTAGTTAAGTAAGCATTAGTAACAGAAGAAAACATAAAGGACTCCTTAGTCATCAATGCTAAGCTAACTAATTATATTTACCTGATGGAGTAATGTTCATCTATGAGTAAGCCTTACCACAGAGTGAGGGGCGGTCGGGTAGTCTAGTGGTTAAAGTGTTCGCTCGTCACGCCGAAGACCCGATTTGATTCCCGACATGGGTACAATGTGTGAAGCACATTTCTGGTGTCCCCCGCCGTGATATTGATGGAATATTGCTAAAAGCGGCGTAAAACCAAACTCACTCACTCACTTACCACAGAGTGAGTGAGTGAGTGAGTATGGTTTTAAGCCGCTTTTAGCAATAGTTCAGCAATATCACGACGGGGTACACTACAAATGGCCTTCACCAATAAACCCACAAGGGGAATCAAACCTTGGTATTCAGCTTGACTAGTGAATGTTTTAACCACTAGATTTACCCGACGCCCCTTTTATCACAGTCGCCAAGCTGGATTGTGCCCAGTCATACAACATGTGGCCAGTCGTAGCATTGAAAACAGGCCATAATATCAGAAATGATCACAGCGCAACATGATCAGACCTAGACTGGTATTGTCTCCTTTAAATAATTTGCAAGTGTAATAGATATCTGACTACTCTTAAACAACAAAAGAAAAGTGCAACAAATAGTTTTTCATGCAATTATAACTTCGACCAACATTTTATTTTAAAGTTTACATGTTTTAGCTTGGATCGAAGTAAAGATAAAAATATCTTTGGGTAGCTTAATACAAATTTTTGTATTTTATTTTGCATGAAAGTTTGTGTAGTGTGATTTTCCGGGAAAACAATAAATACTACACCTAAACTATAGGATGTTTGGTTTTTTTAGACAGTAACATGTATTATATATGAACAAACTTCTTCCAGTCTAGATCAGATTCAGATTGAGAGGCTGTCTTGTTTTTCATATATTTACAACTGATAAAGATATAAGGGTCTCATAATCATTTTCCTAACAGCTTCATTGCTACAACTACGTGAAACATAGATGTTTGTTTGTTTGTTCTTTAACGCCGCACTCAGCAATATTCCAACTATATGACGGTGGTCTGTACATAATTGAGTCTGGCCCAGACAATCCAGTGATTGACATCATGAGCATCGATCCATGCAATTGGGATACGATGTCATGCATCAACCAAGTCAGCGAGCCTGACCTCCCAATCTCGTAAAAGTCGCCTCTTACGACAAGCATAGTAACCTTTTATTGCAAGCATGGGAACCTGAAGACCAGGTTATTTCCTTCAACTTTATCCAAACACTTTTTGAACATCTTACAAAGCACACAATGGAATGTGGGATGAAAGTCCAAAGTGATGCAGGTCTTAGACATTTACCACTTTGGTGAAACACACAAGCACGGCTATGATGCTGACAAATCACAAAACATAATCAGGGAGAACTTGGATTCAAACCCACGATCATGTTTCGGTCATTGCAAGGGAAACAACTCTGCACAGCACATTGCAATGCCTTAGACGACTTGGCCACCCGTGGCCCATATATCCATATGTCAGCAGAAATCACAAAAATTAAGATGATAACACAGTGACGATATCCACTACAGTCTATTTATACTTTCTTGCTGATCACCATACTGATCTCATAGCCATAATATTCAACTATTCTCATTCATGATATGACACAAACATGGTATTTGTTCAAAGAAGATGTTCTTAATATTATATACTCGATTTCAGAAATACGCAACTTAACCCTTGTACATATAGAAAATCTCTTTTTTCACTGTTCATAATGTATGTAGCTATGCCATAGGACGCTAGACTAACATCTAGTCTCTGAAATGAACATATCGTACAGAAAAAAAACAGTCGTTCAATTATCTTGATAAAAATATAATAAAATAGGCTGTATTTGATATATATTTGTATTAGGGTCTGTAAGACAGACTAATAGGACGCCTAAATGAATGAGAGAGTGAATATGGTTACAGCCATTTCTAGAAATACTCCAGCAATATGGCCCTCACACATTGTACCCATTTGGGGAATTGAACCTGGGCCACCAGCATGATAAGCAAACACAGTAACCACTAGGCCACCTTGAAGTCAAAGATCTACATCAGAACTGAGAATTCGTCACTGATCTAAGATAACCTACAAATCTGAACCAGATGTGTAAATGTTTTGGTACATCAGCAATCAGCATAAAACAATTGTGTCACAGTTTATATGTAAATATTTCTGTAGGGTGTGTTCAAATCACCAGAACAGCCCAAATACATATTCCTGTCATCATCTCTGTAATCTTAGTAAATGCCTTGTAATGTTAAAAACAAAGTTGGGTGGGTCTCCAATAAATAAAAACAAACAGATCTCAAAGCAAAATGCAGACCCCGCCTGAAACTCATATGATTGCACCCTCAGGTCTAAAATTTATTTAAAATATGAAGGTAGTTCATGTGAATACTGCTATTAACTTTCCTAAGTTTTTTTTTAATTTGCCAGGGCCTACTTGCACAAAGCAAAGTTAGCGCTAAGACTATCGTAAGCCTATGTTAAAGTATGGGAGTTACGATCATCTTAGCGCTAAGATCGCTTTGTACAAGTGGGCCCTGATCTGTTAGGCCAAAACATCCTTTTCATACCTTCTCCTTTGACAGAATGAATGAGGCTGTTATCAAGACAAACAATGAACAATCATGTTTACAATATACCATAAGTATACCCACTACATAAATAAGTAATGTCATGGAATTTAGAGTAGCTTCTTCTAACACTTGGTATACTTGTTATCGACCATTTCATCAAAGCTCTTGAGAATCATTTGGTCATTTGGGTATTTACCCATGAATTTGATTTGTATTGGGTATCCTTAATTTGTAGATGGTTTTAAATTTTTTTCCACGTTTCTTTAAATTGAGGTATTCCAACTTGGAAACCTGTTTCAAAGAAATCCCTGTAAATATTTTAAAACCAAATGAATATTAGTATACACGTCTTACTGACAGTAACTGTCAGTAAATGAACTCATTATTGGCTGATCGTTTATCTGACAGTTGTAATATATGCATTAGTTTTATTTCTTTTGCATTTTTATAGTTTTTGTCGTGTATATGATACACTAAGGATTTGATTAGTCTGTGTATTCCAGTTTATTTAATGTGTATTTTACGCAAATACGCAGCTTACTACACCTCTGCTTCATCTCAGCATCTACCAACTATTTGTAAATATGCAGTTGCTTCATTTCATCATGACAATGTCATCTAAATTATCTCCCCTTTAACCATGAGAATTGTCCATCTCATTCACGGTTAATCATGCTACAAACAAGCAATAGAACTTATGATATCAGAAATTGGAAAGCTAGTTATTGATGACATGACATTTCAGGACCAATTTCTATTTCACAATGGGTCTGTCTAGGCAGGTAGCATCATCATCCCAACCCTTTAAATCTTACCTCGAGGGACAGTTTTTTGGAGAATGGTGCTGCAGATTTACGGAGAGTTTCTGCTGTGACTGTGCCCCCTGTGAACGACACTATGGGGACATCTGGATGTGTCACAATCGCCTGCCCCGCCTTGGATCCCAAACCAAACACAACATTAATCACTCCCGGAGGTAGACCTGAAACACACATATTTTCCAGACTTTTGTTCTGTTTTCTGGATATTAGTTAGTCTATATTAATAGACCATTAATATGATGATCACCTGGAAATTTGCATATAAATGTCCCCAGATGTCAGACAAACATTTACCAGTAAAAATAGTTATGTTTGTTTGTTTGTTGTTTAACGCTGCACTCAGCAATATTCTAGCTATATGATGGCGGTCTGTAAATAATCGAGTCAGGACCAGACAATCCAGTGATTGACATCATGAGCATCGATCTACATAAAATGGATACGATGACATGCATGAACCAAGTCAGCAAGTCTGACCACCCGATCCCGTTAGTCGCCTCTTACGACAAGCATAGTCGCCTTTTACGGCAAGGATGGGTTGCTGAAGACCTGTTCTACCCCGGATCTTCACGGGTAGTTTACTTGCAAATATTTAAACAGTGTTTAATCAGACATTCCTATGATAATAACCTTTGCTACAATTAAGAAATAGCATCAGTTTTAACATACCCTGTAGTTAATTCTGTTTCAGTGAATACCAACAAATACACAACCAGCAGGCAACCATAACATGTATCTGACTTGTGTTTTAGATTATCTGGTGCTTACCTGCAGCGTTGAATACTTCACACAGTTTGAATGCAGTCACCGATGTCATCTCGCTTGGCTTGGCAACGATGGTGTTGCCAGTTATGATTGCTGGAGCAATTTTGAATGTCAGGAGGTATAGTGGGAGGTTCCAGGGGCTGATGAGACCTGCCACGCCCACCGGCTGTTTGACGGTGTAGTTGACAGCCTCAGCATCGTCCATTACACTGGATCTAAAGTGGGACCAACGATGTCTTGTCTTGTTATGTAAGTAACTTAGTGCCTTACCTATATACAAATTCAATTATAATTGTCAAGTGATGTTTTGTTATTTACAATTGAACTTACAAGTATTATGCTGCAAAAACTCTGATATATTTCTAGCCTGTAACAAAACAATCGCAACAAGACATTCACTTATTCAGTTCATGAAGCATACATGGTGCAAGTCAATCGCAACAAGACATTCACTTATTCAGTTCATGAAGCATACATGGTGCAAGTTAATCGCAACAAGACATTCACTTATTCAGTTAATGAAGCATACATGGTGCAAGTCAATCGCAACAAGACATTCACTTATTCAGTTCATGAAGCATACATGGTGCAAGTCAATTGCAACAAGACATTCACTTATTCAGTTCATGAAGCATACATGGTGCAAGTCAATCGCAACAAGACATTCACCTATTCAGTTCATGAAGCATACATGGTGCAAGTCAATCACAACAAGACATTCACTTATTCAGTTCATGAAGCATACATGGTGCAGTCAATCGGAACAAGACATTCACTTATTCAGTTCATGAAGCATACATGGTGCATGTCAATCGCAACAAGACATTCACCTATTCAGTTCATGAAGCATACATGGTGCAAGTCAATCGCAACTAGACATTCACCTATTCAGTTCATGGAGAATGCATGATGCAAAGAATCGGAAGTTATGGACAGCTCGAGGGATGTCCACAGCTTTAGCCAACCAGACTGGTTTACCCTGGTCATGTGACTCCAACTCCGCAAACTCGTCAATTCGGGATTCCAGAATGTCAGCAATCTTGTTCACAATCTTGGAGCGTTCCCCGACAGGTGTATGTGACCAGCTTAAAAAGCAAAATACAAATCGCCAATTTGAAAATTGCTTCTTCTTCATACTAAAAACAACAAGCATGAAAGTTAATCATACACTGTTCTCAACATTGTTGTACCCATATCATGCTGGGGACTCTTACAACAGTGTGTGTAGTGCTAAAGGGTTAATGAAATACATGGGTTGCTGAAGACCTATTCTACCCTAGATATTCATGGATCTCATGCTGGGAAACAGTCAGGACAGTGACTGCGAACAGACAGAGACAGTCAGGACAGTGACTGCGACCAGACAGAGACAGTCAGGACAGTGACTGCGACCAGACAGAGACAGTCAGGACAGTGACTGCGACCAGACACACAGAGAGAGACGGTCAGGACAGTGACTGCGACCAGACAGAGACAGTCAGCACAGTGACTGCGACCAGACAGAGACAGTCAGGACAGTGACTGCGACCAGACAGAGACGGTCAGGACAGTGACTGCGACCAGACAGAGACAGTCAGGACAGTGACTGCGACAAGACAGAGACGGTCGGGACAGTGACTGCGACCAGACAGAGACAGTCGGCACAGTGACTGCGACCAGACAGAGACAGTCAGGACAATGACTGCGACCAGACACACAGAGTGAGACGGTCAGGACAGTGACTGCGACCAGACAGAGACAGTCAGCACAGTGACTGCGACCAGACAGAGACAGTCAGGACAGTGACTGCGACCAGACAGAGACAGTCAGGACAGTGACTGCGACCAGACAGAGACAGTCGGCACAGTGACTGCGACCAGACAGAGACAGTCAGCACAGTGACTGCGACAAGACAGAGACAGTCAGGACAGTGACTGCGACCAGACAGAGACAGTCAGGACAGTGACTGCGACCAGAGAGAGACAGTCAGGACAGTGACTGCGACCAGACACACAGAGCGAGACAGTCAGGACAGTGACTGCGACCAGACAGAGACAGTCAGGACAGTGACTGCGACCAGACAGAGAGCGAGACAGACAGGACAATGACTGCAAACAGACACAGAGAGAGAGACAGTCAGGACAGTGACTGCGACCAGACACAGAGAGAGAGATGGTCAGGACAGTGACTGCGACCAGACACACAGAGCGAGACAGTCAGGACAGTGACTGCGACCAGACAGAGACAGTCAGGACAGTGACTGCGACCAGACAGAGAGCGAGACAGACAGGACAATGACTGCAAACAGACACAGAGAGAGAGACAGTCAGGACAGTGACTGCGACCAGACACAGAGAGAGAGATGGTCAGGACAGTGACTGCGACCAGACACAGAGAGAGAGACGGTCAGGACAGTGACTGCAAACAGACACAGAGAGAGACAGTCAGGACAGTGACTGCGACCAGACACACAGAGAGAGACGGTCAGGACAGTGACTGCGACCAGACACAGAGAGAGAGACGGTCAGGACAGAGACTGCGACCAGACACACAGAGAGAGACGGTCAGGACAGTGACTGCAAACAGACACAGAGAGAGACAGTCAGGACAGTGACTGCGACCAGACACAGAGAGACAGTCTGGACAGTGAACTAGACTAACGGCAAGTAGGCCAGCACTCCAGGACAGCTCAGGTCATGCTTGTGTAATGCACAGACTCTGCCCACGTTGATCATTCTGTATATGTGGGGTGAGGTGAAATGATTATTGCACTTATATAGCGACGTGCATGTATGTGTGTGTGTTTGTGTGGCTGCTTGTACTAGTCCGGACTGATGCCGATTTATAGTGCTAGCTCACTGAGATACCATGCTGCAGTTTAACATGAATACCCCACTCAGACACAGTATACTGACTCCGAGCCGACCAGTCCTTGTTTTAGCCCCTTAATGCCGAGCGCCAGACAGGGTAACAACAAGTACCATCTTTTAACGTCTGTTGGTATGACGCGACCGGGGATCGAACCCCGGACCTTCCGCTCTCAGGGCGAACGCTCTACCACTAGACCACGGAGGCGGTCTTCTGTATATGTACAAGCGTTGATGAATTTAAAGTAACCAGAAAAAAAACACTGAGTAGTTGTTGTGCTACAATATCCTACAATGAAATCTTGTCACTGGCAGCTACAACTGTCTGTTTTCCTTTCCATGATAGTGACTTTTTTTTAATATTCAACATATTCTGAACACTTTATGAACTACCATAGCGAGAAAGTTTTAATTTATAAAATTGGAAATGTCATTTCAATGTAAAGAATAATCTTATTAACATACCCTAAGCCTTTGAAAACAAATTGTTCAATGTTTTTTTAGGGGAAGAGATTCACAGGAAGGCTGTATTTTCAATCTGCTGTGATGGCAGCCATTTATATAAAATTGTTCAAAATGCAAAGTGAACTTTGTTGTATTCAGAGACATATATATAATATGTGTGAGTGAGGACAGTGAGTATGTGAATTTTCGACATCAACATGCTCACTGTTGATGATCTAAATGAATTATTGAAGTTCCTAAATGTGATTATCTGAGAGCAATATGATACAGGGCAATTTTAGACAGCCGACATTTCATATTCAACAGCCATTACACAATATGGACAGTTTTCTTAAAGTTTGTTTGACTATTGTTGCTTGTTACTGTAAATACTTTAAAATTGTATGCACAGCATGAGCAGAATTTGTTTGTCAACAAGATCCATAGCAAGTGACAAGCAGGATTTTGAGTTTTGTGAAAAAGGGTAACCCTAGTGTCATCATCTAGTATCTAGATTACGGCAGAGACCATATATATAATAGACTATTATATGGTCTCTATAGTTACGGGAAGTGGAATATTCTATTTTATATTTTGTGTAAAATCTACTTGCGTAAAATAAATAGAGGTTACAGTGGGCGTATGGTACACACCGCTTTGAGGAATATTCAAGCAATATCACACAGACTCGATACTGCAGTACTTATATAGTTCTAATACTAGTAATAGGACTAGCTCCTCCGTCTAAGACTCTATAATTTATAAAATAAATACATTTTAGAATTTACAAGAACAAAAACGTTTAAACGTAAAAATTATTATTTTTCTTTTACGAGTTTTCGATAAGTCAAACCTTTAGATATAACATATTTTCAAGTTACCCTGTGAACGCTTGTTTAGCTGACAGTACTGCCGCGCCAACTTCTTCTCTCCCACTGTCTGGAATCTGCGCCCAAACATCGCCTGTCGCCGGATTAAAACTGTCAATAAAGTTGTCTGTAGACACAAACTCTCCATTGATGAAGTTTTTGACACATAACATACGCATGATGTTTAGAATAGCTAAGTCACAATTATACAAAAATAGTGTTCACTGAAGATTCTGCAGAGTTTGAGGTTTTGTTTACGCCATTTTATGACCTGTTTGGGACCTTGACCCCAAAGCAGGTGCTTTATTTTGATTGGTTTAAAACGAAGGCGGGGCATTCTGGCTCGGGGCGCTAACCGCATTCCCGATACAAGGTCCAGATAAAGAAAAGACTTAGCTGTACATGCACGGTATCGTGTATACATGACTGTGAACTTATTTTATAATTCATAATTATGGTATAAAGCTGGTGACCTTTGTTAAGAATTTTCTCATTAAACCGCACATATACTTAAATCTCGCCAACACGCACCTTGTAGGTCATTTCTAAACGGATACATTAATCAGTCATAAAGGACGTATGTCCTCAAAACAGGGACGCTTGTTTTCATGGTTCACTTTAATTTATTGCTAAATCATGTCACTGAACACTCCTTTCAGTGGAGATGTCCTGATAATGCCTCTGTTGTTCTGACCGACTTTATTTACCGTATTCGACGTAATAAGCGCCCGGGGCGCTCTCAAAATTAGAAATAGGGGGCTCTTATTAGAATATTATTTTGGTGAAGAAAAACATAGTTGAAAGATAAATTTCGTTGTTTATGCTGACAGCCTGAAATGTTTATGTACGACAGATATATTTTTCCAGATTTTAATTGCCCATAAATAAGGGTGCATATAACACACGAGTGCGTATTATACCGAATAAATAAGTCTTGTGTACATTGATCAATCGGAAGGGATGCAAATTGGGCTTGTTCACTAGCCAATATATCAGCAAATATCGCCGTGGACGTTTATTAGAGCGGGGCGCTTATTACGTCGAATACGTTATTGTTTTGAAGGGAAACAATTAACACTCCAAGTTTGAAAGTATTGAAATATGGACGAGCTTTTTCTTCGCGGATTAAAAATTGTCTTATCAGGAACTATTATTTCAACTGATATGGCTTCTTGTGTTCACATGGGCTTAATAGTGAGTGAGTGAGTGAGTATGGTTTTACGCCGCTTTTAGCAATATTCCTGGAATATCACGGCGAGGGACACTAGAAATGGGCTTCACACATTGTACCCATGTCGGGATTCGAACCCGGGTCTTCGGCGTGACGACATGGGCTTATTAAAATGGCTGGGTACAATGTGTGAAGCCCATTTCTAGTGTCCCCCGCCGTGATATTGCTGGAATATTGCTAAAAGCGGCGTTAAACCATACTCACTCACTATTAAAATGGCGACTAGGCGACTGAAAGTTGGAGTGCTGTTTCACTTTTAACAGGTTTAAGGGATGTTGGGAAGAAATCTCGGTGGCATCGCTCACATGTGTAATGGGCCTACTTGTCATGTGAGTAGGCAAACGTCCTATGAAAATGTATCGGCATGAACCAAGCTATATATAAAACTGAAACACATGTGTATAGATACTGGGGAAAGTTACCAAACTAGGTGTGAGTGCAAATAATAGGTCGCAGATCGACATAATGCATCGTGCTGGGCGCCAGAATTCGGGCTGTCATGGACTTCAATATACCTGGTAATATAAGTTCGTGACCCGACATATTCGTGTCGCCGTGACCTCACAAAGCTCATTCAAGGACGGAGTTGCGGGAGAGAGAGAGAGAGAGAGAGAGAGAGAGAGAGAGAGAGAGAGAGAGAGAGTAGGCGATACAACTTGCGAGGCAATTTAGCAGGGCAAGTAGGGCTCTAAAAAAAAAAAAAAAATCCCTATGCTGATTTGTGGAATAGAGATAGCTTGAGCTGGCTAGACTTGCTTTTGTATACATTTCTAGATTTATTTTTTTTCATATAAAATAAATACATTCCACAGTCATGGTGCAGGACTAGGGTGCCCTGCGGAGAACGCTCGGGGATCTGGGTTAATTAGTACTCAAAACACCCGAAAATATTGCAACTGGAATTATCTTTAACGCTATTTCCTTCCGTTTGGGGGGGGGGGGGGGGGGGGGGGGGCTGTTGGGTAGCCTAGTGGTGAAGGCGTTCGCTCGTCACATGGGTATAGTGTGTGAAGCCCATTTCTTGTGTCCCCCGCCGTGGTATTGCTGGAATATTGCTAAAAGCGGCGTTAAACCATACTCACTCACTATTAAAATGGCGACTAGGCGACTGAAAGTTGGAGTGCTGTTTCACTTTTAACAGGTTTAAGGGATGTTGGGAAGAAATCTCGGTGGCATCGCTCACATGTGTAATGGGCCTACTTGTCATGTGAGTAGGCAAACGTCCTATGAAAATGTATCGGCATGAACCAAGCTATATATAAAACTGAAACACATGTGTATAGATACTGGGGAAAGTTACCAAACTAGGTGTGAGTGCAAATAATAGGTCGCAGATCGACATAATGCATCGTGCTGGGCGCCAGAATTCGGGCTGTCATGGACTTCAATATACCTGGTAATATAAGTTCGTGACCCGACATATTCGTGTCGCCGTGACCTCACAAAGCTCATTCAAGGACGGAGTTGCGGGAGAGAGAGAGAGAGAGAGAGAGAGAGAGAGAGAGAGAGAGAGAGAGAGAGAGAGTAGGCGATACAACTTGCGAGGCAATTTAGCAGGGCAAGTAGGGCTCTAAAAAAAAAAAAAAAATCCCTATGCTGATTTGTGGAATAGAGATAGCTTGAGCTGGCTAGACTTGCTTTTGTATACATTTCTAGATTTATTTTTTTTCATATAAAATAAATACATTCCACAGTCATGGTGCAGGACTAGGGTGCCCTGCGGAGAACGCTCGGGGATCTGGGTTAATTAGTACTCAAAACACCCGAAAATATTGCAACTGGAATTATCTTTAACGCTATTTCCTTCCGTTTGGGGGGGGGGGGGGGGGGGCTGTTGGGTAGCCTAGTGGTGAAGGCGTTCGCTCGTCACATGGGTATAGTGTGTGAAGCCCATTTCTTGTGTCCCCCGCCGTGGTATTGCTGGAATATTGCTAAAAGCGGCGTTAAACCATACTCACTCACTATTAAAATGGCGACTAGGCGACTGAAAGTTGGAGTGCTGTTTCACTTTTAACAGGTTTAAGGGATGTTGGGAAGAAATCTCGGTGGCATCGCTCACATGTGTAATGGGCCTACTTGTCATGTGAGTAGGCAAACGTCCTATGAAAATGTATCGGCATGAACCAAGCTATATATAAAACTGAAACACATGTGTATAGATACTGGGGAAAGTTACCAAACTAGGTGTGAGTGCAAATAGGTCACAGATCGACATAATGCATCGTGCTGGGCGCCAGAATTCGGGCTGTCATGGACTTCAATATACCTGGTAATATAAGTTCGTGACCCGACATATTCGTGTCGCCGTGACCTCACAAAGCTCATTCAAGGACGGAGTTGCGGGAGAGAGAGAGAGAGAGAGAGTAGGCGATACAACTTGCGAGGCAATTTAGCAGGGCAAGTAGGGCTCTAAAAAAAAAAAAAAATCCCTATGCTGATTTGTGGAATAGAGATAGCTTGAGCTGGCTAGACTTGCTTTTGTATACATTTCTAGATTATTTTTTTTTCATATAAAATAAATACATTCCACAGTCATGGTGCAGGACTAGGGTGCCCTGCGGAGAACGCTCGGGGATCTGGGTTAATTAGTACTCAAAACACCCGAAAATATTGCAACTGGAATTATCTTTAACGCTATTTCCTTCCGTTTGGGGGGGGGGGGGGGGGGCTGTCGGGTAGCCTAGTGGTGAAGGCGTTCGCTCGTCACATGGGTACAGTGTGTGAAGCCCATTTCTTGTGTCCCCCGCCGTGGTATTGCTGGAATATTGCTAAAAGCGGCGTAAAACCATACTCACTCACTCCTTCAGTTAGGAGGTTGATTAGTGATATTTTACTCCATACTCACTCACTCCTTCAGTTAGGAGGTTGATTAGTGATATTTTACACCATACTCACTCACTCCTTCAGTTAGGAGGTTGATTAGTGATATTTTAAATGTTAAAAATATTGTCAATTTAGTCTGCGAGACTCAAAGTCCCCATAAATTTGTTAAGTTGAGTCTGAGACATCTCAAACTATTGTCCAGAGTAGACCGTAGTCTACTGTCTTTCAGCAGCGTGGTTGACGACATAAATTGTATATTCAATGGTGTATAAAAGCTTAAACCATTACTATAGATGACAACCATTGTTTTAAAAGCAGACTGCGAGTCACATGCTTTATTGTATAATGACTGTCGTCTCGTCTCGCTAGTTACCACCGACCCCCTACAGGACTGGACACACCTGTAACATGTACTCAGCTGTGGCTCAGGGGCCCGTTCCACAAAGCGATCTTAGTGCTAAGACGATCGTTACTCCCATGCTTCAACGTAGACTTTAACGACAATAGCAGCTCTCAGAAAGAAATTGAATCGTAACACAATGGACCTGCAGAGACCATATCCTGATATTGGTAGACATGTGCATATGGTCTCTCGACAAGGCGTTATAAGACTCTTTCTGATCCACAGGATCCACAATTTACAGCTCATATCACCTTCTACGTATGTAGTTTAGATGGAGCTCCCATCACCTTCTATGTCTGTAGTTCACCGGGAGCTCCCATCACCTTCTATGTATGTATAGTTCACCGGGAGCTCCCATCACCTTCTATGTCTGTAGTTCACCGGGAGCTCCCATCACCTTCTATGTATGTATAGTTCACCGGGAGCTCCCATCACCTTCTATGTCTGTAGTTTAGATGGAGCTCCCATCACCTCCTATGTATGTATAGTTCACCGGGAGCTCCCATCACCTTCTATGTCTGTAGTTTAGATGGAGCTCCCATCACCTTCTATGTCTGTAGTTCACCGGGAGCTCCCATCACCTTCTATGTATGTATAGTTCACCGGGAGCTCCCATCGCCTTCTACGTATGTAGTTTAGATGGAGCTCCCATCACCTTCTATGTCTGTAGTTTAGATGGAGCTCCCATCACCTTCTATGTCTGTAGTTCACCGGGAGCTCCCATCACCTTCTATGTATGTATAGTTCACCGGGAGCTCCCATCACCTTCTACGTATGTAGTTTAGATGGAGCTCCCATCACCTTCTATGTCTGTAGTTCACCGGG